AGCATCTTCAGGTATAGGGGCTTTTCCCTCCTGATAAGGAGACTTGGCTACCAAGGGCTGAAAAACAAGTTATTTCTGCTTTCCATTGGTATAGGTCACTGGACCCAATAAGCATTGTAGTTCTTCACTTAAGGGGCTAGTAGAGAGGGGCTGCACTGCTGTAAGTATGTGCCCCATTTGGCCAGTGTAGGCATCTGTGCCACGCCACTCCATGGCCTTTGCATCCAGTCTTGCACCCACCCTGCAATGGGGTAGGTGGTTATTACCTTGATCAGAGCTATTCCAGTAATGGGCTCCATAGCCAACAAGGCATCATACACAGTAGCTGGTGGCTTCTCTATCAAGGTGACCTGGACCTCTGCTCCTTTCCACAGTTGTGACTACAATCCAATAGGTTGGCATGTCCATTCAAGCCACTGCCAAAGACCCCGTCCATAACCACCTTTGGTTACATGAATATCTAGCTCACAGGGCCTTGATGAGTCTGTTACACTCAAGGCCTGTATGGCCGGACTGCCTGCTTGGCAGCAGTAAGAGCAGCTGCACATGTCTCATCCCAGTCCCACCTGATGCCCTTTGTATCAACTGGTATAAGGAATTCAGAATTTGTGCCAAGTGCGGGTTAAACACTCTTCAGTAGCCCCAAAGACCCCAAAACTCTTGTAATAATGCCACAGTGGTAGTGGTGGGGAAAGCCTGGACTTTGTCTATGACTGCTTCAGGAACAACTTTAGTTTTACCTGACCAGATGACCCCCATGAATTTCACAGACAAACCAGGTACCTGAACCTTGGTGCTGTTCACAGCCCATCCTTTTTCCTGTAGATGTTGCGACAGTCTAGGAACTGCCCCTTCTAGATCTGAAAGAGAATCACATGTGTGCATAATATCATCAATGTAGTGATACATCTGCACAGTTTGCAGTTTCTTCCATGTGACCAAGTTATTGGGCTACAAGTCCGTGACAGATGGTGGGACTGTGGAGGTATCCCTGTGCAAGGACGGTGAATGTCCATTGCTGGTCATCCCACGTGAAGGCAAACTGTTACTGACTCTCCTGTGCTATGTCAATAGAGAAAAAAGCATTAGCAAGGTCTACTACATAATGATACATTCCTAGCTCATGACTAAGGGTGTCCAAAATGTCTGCTTTAGAGGGGACAGCAGCATGCAAAGGGAGTGTGACTTTATTCAATTCCCTGTAGACCACAGTCATACTCCAGGAGCCATCTGGCTTTCTCACTGGCCACACTGGGGAATTAAAAGAACTATGAGTGGGCTTTATGATGCCCACCCTCTCCAACTCCTGTAGAGTTTCTCCAATTTCCTTGTGCCCCCCAGGAAATTTATACTGCTTAGTATTTGTCACCCACCAAGGTACAGGCAGGACAGGTGGGTGCTTAGCATCTCCTCTCAGAACTGCCTTTACCACACGTGCCCTCAGTCTGAACTCACCTGCAGTGGTCTGTCACCACAGGCCCTGCAGGATATCTACCCCCAAAATATATTCAGGGATGGGAGAAATGTACATAGTGTACTCCTTTGGGGGTAAATCTCTTATCCCCAATGAGATTTGGACTTTCCTCACTCTAACTGCCTCACCCCCATAGCCATCTATCACAGCAGGGGTCCCAGGAAAATGCTCAGGGTTGCCATGGATCAGAGAACACTCAGCTCCTGTGTCCACCAGTGTCAGGATACATTGTACATTCATAGGGGACCAATGAATTGCTAATTCTACATGTGGCCTCTGGTCCCCACCATGACCCCAAGGTGGGGACTTTGACCATGCCCCTTCAGTCGAACCGTGATGCCCAATCATCCTCCTGTGGGGGTGAGGGCTCAGGTGAATCCTGAGTACTGTCTCCCATGAAGTTTTGCAGGGACACAGGCAGGGCATGAGGCCTTGACTCTGGTTTCCATGTCCTGGACCTCAGCGGCTGGAGCTGCTGCTCTGGCTGTAATTGGTGCCACAGTTCTAACAAGATTCTATTGGGCTGCCCATCGAGTTTTTCTTTCACTACCCTGGCCTTTATCAAATCAACCCACATCTGGGTCCTTGAGACCTTCACGGGCCCTTTGCACCTCTCCTTTCAGTCATGGCCCATATTTCCTTCTATGCCCTTACCATTTCACCCTTCCCCAGATCTGCTAAAGTATGAGTAGCCTCCCTTATGTGCTGCCCTATGAGGGTGCAAAAGTAGTCACTAGGGACCCAAAGAGAGATGGGGGAGCTGTATGCAGCACCAGATTTCTGATTCCTATAGTGAACACCTCCTCATCAGGGCCCTGGGGGCCCATATTATAGATGATGTTTTTCATACCCAATTCCCACAGTACCTGTTGGAGCTCTGCATATGTTTTCCAACTACTAAGAAAATATGGGAAATCACCCTGATTAGGCCAAACTATCCTGATGGCAGCTGCCAGCCATTTCTGAGGCGTGACGGGCATTTTGCAACTGCTGCTAGAGGGAAGGGTGAGTTGTCAGGGAAGCCAGTTTACTCATCTCAGTACCCGACATAAGAATGTTTTCCACCCCTGTATCCCAGAGACATAAAAGCCATGTAGGCAGAGATTCCGATGGCCTCTGCCTACCGGATGCTCATGTCCATCAGCTCATCCTGGGTTTAGGAGTGCTCCACAACCTGGGGAGGGGGCTGCTCCTCCCCTGAGGAGCTTGCGGTTGCTGGGTGGGCCTTTAAAACAGAAGATGGTACCTCCAGCAGTGGCCTGGGTAGCAGATCTGCCAATGGCCCTGCCTCCTCCTCTTCTCCCTCAAGCTTCTCCACCATTTCTAGAGGTATTTTACACCGGGATTTCCTTTCTCTGGACTTATACCTGGCAGAAGTCAGCAGGGTTCCTCTGAACCTGAAATCTGTCATTTCTCCATTACCACACGTGCCCTCAGTCTGAACTCACCTGCAGTGGTCTGTCACCACAGGCCCTGCAGGATATCTACCCCCAAAAATATACTCAGGGATGGGAGAAATGTACATAGTGTACTCCTTTGGGGGTAAATCTCTTATCCCCAATGAGATTTGGACTTTCCTCACTCTATTTCTTCATTTCCTGGGATGAAGGCACCCCTCTTTCCTCCCCCTCCCCCACGGCCTCCTGCAATGCGGCTTTTCCTGCTGCACTCCCTTGCTGCTAAGGAGTCTTCCTGGAGCATGACCTGTCTTTTCACTAACTGTCTGTCTTCTTTAATAGCATTCCACAGGTTATCGCCCAGCTCCTCCAAGCGATACTGAAGTGTGTCTCTCTCCCCCCTAAGTCCCTCCTTCTCCTCACTAAGTCTCTTGATAGTCCTCTCTTTCTCCTGTATAACATTTTCCACTATCTAGATGAAAAGAGACCCTACAATGCCAGCCACTACATGACCCCCTAAGGTCTGCCAGCAGTCTTCCAACTCATGAAGGGCTAATTCTGCAGCTTCTGGTGTTTCCACCCTTCCCCAGTTCTGGGGAAGGCCCCACCCGTCTAAGAGGTACTTTACCCTAGACCAATTCCCCACTAGGGGCTCCCAAATTGGAAGCCCCACAGCTGGGGGGATAATAACAGGTGAAGCAGCACCCTCTGCCACTGCATCCACTGGGGTCTCCCAACCATCCACAGGAGCAGCCCTCCCAAAGGATGCACACATTATGACAGATTTCAGGTTCAGAGGAACCCTGCTGACTTCTGCCAGGTATAAGTCCAGAGAAAGGAAATCCCGGTGTAAAATACCTCTAGAAACTGAAATCAGTCAAAGGGAAAAATAAAGTTTAAAACCCATTTATTGCTTACAAACTGCAGTCCAGCACCCTCTCTCTCCCCTGCTCTGGAAGAAGCAAGCAAGCAAGCAAGCTCCTCCCCTTAACCTCTCAGGTTCAGACACGCCCTTGGTTGCCCGGTAATTACTCATTGACCTGGAGATGAGCTTCTCTGCACCTTTGGGGATATGCAAATGCATTAAAGTCAGGCAAGATACTCTGGAAATGTTACAATTTTACCCAAACTCAGATTTACCCTCAGGAAACAAAATTAATTGTGTGGAGGGAGGGGGATCTTAGTGTCACACTCCACTGTGGCTGGGCTAGGGGAGACAGGAATCAGGGCTTTTTCTCAGGAACACTCAGCAATGACGAATCTTCTGGCTTTCTTTCTAGCTGTAGCCTTTCTCCCCTGAGTTTTACTTCACCACATTGGGGAGGCATAGGAAAGTGGTTTTTCAAATCTTTCTTGTTTCAAATCTGCTGCTCCTATTAGTGATGAAGCTGCTCTTATTTTTTTGAAGTCTAGTTTGAAGAGCAGCTGTCTGCTGTAGCTCAGCAGTGAATGTTCTGTCCTTCTCCCCACAGCTGTCCCTGTCTCTTTGAATGGGTCTAGAAGCTTGCTGTTAAATAAACATAGTGGCAAGTCTTCCTGGTAGTGCCTCTGATGGCAGAAGCATCCAAGCCAAAGCACCCTCTGTGCTACTAACACAAATCTTCCCAGTAAAAGTAGCATAGAGGTGAAGAGCGTAGATCTGGCAACCAGACTGCCTGGGCTCAGAGTACAGCTCTGTCCGTAACTCTGGGCCCTGTGGCCTTGGCCAAATTATGTAACTTCTGAATCTGAGTTTCCTGATTTATAAAATGTGGGTAATAATATTTCTTAATTCACTGGCTTTTTGTGAGTATTACTGTTAGGCTGGAGGAAGGAAAAACAAGGACATGCAAACAGAACAGAGAGATGCCATAGGGGGAGAACAGACCAGACCCCAAGGTCCATGCCTTATATGGAAAGGGGACAGCTCTTCCTGAATTCCATCCTTCTGATGTGCCAACTAAGACCCAGATGTCAGCCTCCTCCCTCTTGAAAGGAAAAAAAGTTTCTAGTTGTCTATTATGTCACCTTTAGCCAATCATACCTCTCCACATCCCCTAGGATAGCTTGCCCACTCCTCCCCCTCCTAATCCCTTATAAGCCCCCACCTCCCTGACCAGGTGTGACTTCCCCGGCCTGTAGTACCCAGACCACAGAACATCACCTGGGAGTGGCTTTCAAATAAACTACCTGGCCCTTTGTTGCCTCTCTTTGCCTGCTTATTTTGGCTAAAATTTATCTTATATTTGGTGCCGACCCCGGGAAGGAGTGTGACCGTGGGGCCCTGACCAGCCACTGGTGGCTCTGCCCCCTCCTTCCCCGACCTGGGACCTCAGCCTCCTCTCCGGTACATGGACTATTTCAGGTGAGTCCTTCAGTTTCCCCGGTCTGTTTCCCTCCCTAACTCCATTTCACCTGGTCCATTAGAAATTGTACGTACGTCCAGGTGGCCCACCCTCTGCAGGCATCTGGCCCACCCCTGGCCCTGCGGTATGGGAGACATCCCTACCCCAGGCCCCAGGATGTCTGCAGGCATCCGGGATACCCGCCCCTGGCCCTGCGGTTTGGAAGATGTCCCTCACCCAGGCTCCCAGGCTGTATCCCCTGACTTGGTGTGCTTGGGATGCTGGGCGCTCCTCTCAGCAGGGTTAGTTGGGAAGTGGCGCAGACATGGGGAACCAGCCCTCAAAAGCAGAGGCTCAGACCCCATGTGGTGTCTCATTTCTAATCTGGCTACTCTATATTTGTCCGGGAAAGTTCACAAATAGAAGCTAGTCTTTCTTTGCTCTGAGGCCGGGCCTCAGTATCCCTTGGACAATCAATCTTGCTGGCCCCCTGAGGAAACTTTCAATTTTAGCCTCCTCACCACCTTGATTAATTATTGCCACTGGAGTGGAGAGTAGAGTGAAATCCCATATGTGCAGGCTTTTTAGACTTTGCACTCCTGCCCAGACCTTTATGTTGTGTTCAGTGACTCAGGTTCTCCTAGTCCGATCTCCAGTTAAAGATTGTCAGCCTCTTGCTCTGCTCAGTCCTTCTTCCCTTTCAGATCCACCAGAAGACCTCAGTCACCCACTTCCCTCAGCTCGCAATCCCCTCTCCCTCTCTCCACCATGATCTTTAAGTCCTTTGTCTTCACACGTGTAGCCGCCATCTTAAAGTCCTGCATTCTCAACCATGTCGTTGTCTTGCTCTCCTCTTACAGTGGCTGCACCACCCCCTACCCCTCTCCTTCCACCTTCACCACCCTCTTCCCCCACCAGAACATGCTCCTCCCGCCCTCTGGTTCCAGAAGCCACAGACAAGAAGCTGAAGAGAAGGAAAGGCAATTGGATATCAGTGACTCAAGTCTTTATATCAGTTTGTCTGTCTGTGTATATGTTTTTGTGTTGGGGGTGTTGCTGCCTGTAGTCGTTGTATCTCAGTTTGTATGTTTGTGTGTCTAGGTGTATAGATGAAAAATATTTTATTTAAAAACAAGCGCTTGTGAAAATTGGGCATTCCAAAACTTCCAGAAAATCTGATAAAAATGTTAAGCATTAATGCTAATTTGATTTTAGCTGAGGCAGGCATGTCCTTGTTGTTATCAGCTGCCTAAGTTTACCTAAGGTCATTTAAGTCAGTGTTATCTGCTAAGTCTTTTAAGAATAAAATGCTTAAAGGCTTGGCTTTGTCTAACATTCAGTAAAAGTTTTGTAAGTAATCTAGCATAGTTGCTAAAAATAAGTAAACAAGCCTATCAAACAAATATCTTAGTAATAATATGGTATTAATGTATAATGGTGTGTATATATATATGCAAACAGCCTGAAAATTTTTGTAGTAACCAAAATTCTTAAAGTTTGCTAAGTTATATAGACATATTTTGTGCCTAATAAGAAATTGTGCTATAAAGCACATTTCCAAAAATGATAATATACATTTATAGATGTATCAATCTGAAAAATGCTAGTGTAACAGTTTACAGTAGCCTATTTTTCAGTGTTCACTGAAGGTTAAAGTAATAGTTTTAAGTTCTAATAAAAACTACTTAAAGTAGTAAGGAAAACATTTCTGCATGCTAAAAAGTATGTCTTTTGATAAAAGAAAGTAACTGTTCTAAAGTACAGCTGTTTATTTAGAAGGAGAAATCTAAATGTAAAAAGAAAGTTGTAAAAAGTTTGTAGAAGAATTTAATATGGTCATGCTATATAAAATTAAAGCAAATGAGTCTCAGTATCAGGTACACAGCAAAATTAGAATTTTGTTTTCAGTTGAAAAGACGAAGTTTTCTTAACTGTTAGTCTGCTCTTAATATTGAAAAGATTGCAGAGAGTTCTAATGGTTTTATCAAAGCAGTTTCTTATGCTTAAAGTCTCAGTGAGTTGTCAGAGTCTTTAAGAAAATGAGATCTTAATATTAAAAGGACTAAAAGCTAAACTTTGCTAACAACTGTGTAACCTTCTTTATTTGCCTTTGAAGTACTTTGTTGTCATTCTAGTTAATTGGATAAGTATTGCTTTATGGCAACCTATAATCCTATTTAAGCAAGCGCCAAAGAAACTTTCTTCTGACAACTTCCCAAAACCAAATTCAAAAAGGTACTTTTACCTCTAGTTAACTCTGATATTTTCCAGAGGGCCCCTGGAACATGTCAGAAGAACTATTTCTCATTGGAGAAAGTATTTGGCTAATTTAACTTATTTATCTGATATATAATTACCTGCTTAATTACCTAGAAAGCACTGTCAAAAAGAATAATGCTAAACTTTGTTACTAAATGTTTTGTGTTACAGAAATATCAGAATTTCCTTATGTCAACTGTCTTACACTAAGCTCTCATCAGATCTTTAACCATTGTCATTTGTAAGTCTTTTATTATTTATAGTCACTGTTTTATTACTCTTAAGCTAGTAAAGAACTAGATTTCAGCAGAACAAGTATTAGTTACATAAGATTAAGTAAACTAAAGAAGATGATTTTGTAGCTTTTTGTTTCAAATGTTGCTGATAAAGTGTTTTAAGCTTTTTCTCTTAAGCTGACAACAGTTTAGTAAATGACTGCCTTTATAAGCAGAATTGAAACTTTATCTTTCTCTCTACCTGATCCCTCCAGAATTTAAAAACTCTCAGTGACAATTTTTATATTTCATGGCAGTATGTTTATTTGCTCAAGTTCAATAAGAATCTGCTTTCCTTGTAAGAGGACCAATTAAAAACACTGGTTATATTACCAAGGCTTTGACTGGAACGTAATACCTGAGAGACATGTGTGTAAACTCAGATATGAACAGACAGCTTTAAGGAACAGGTTGACTTTATAAAGTCAACAAAGCCCCTTAGAAGAACCTACCTGGTACCTTGCTTACAGAGTTCCCAGCAGCCTTACCAGGTGAGTAAAGAAGGTCACTTCCCGGCAGGTGCAGGAACCTCAGGAATGTCTTAGGAACCTCAAGAAGAGAAGAATTAACCCAAATCTACAGGTACTGCAGGCACAACCTGATGGTAAGTCTGGCTTGGCTTTCTGGCCTCAAGAAGCCCTTAAAAGTCCAATCTGAAATTCCTTACAAAAAGTTCAAGCAAAGCATATTTAAAAGAGCCTATGTAATCAATTGCTCTTCTTGCTGCACTTATGCAAATAATCAAGCCAACTGTTAATTATTTTCTTAATCTGGCTACTTCTAATAAAAATGAGGGTAATTTTAGAGAAAAGTATTGTTTCAATAATGCAGTCTTATCTATACTAAATCCCAATACTAGTCATTGAGATGTAAACTCGATCCAGAATTCCAGTCCCCCATAATAGCCTAGCTAATGCCCCTACTGGGCCCCTTAATAACAGTTTGTGGTTTACTCTTAGTTGCCCCTTGTGTCCTCAGGTTCCTCCAACAGTGGCTAACCCAGATGACCCGGGGCCCCACCAGCCAGATGTTACATCACCGTTATGCACCTCTTCCCACTGAACCCCCTCCTTTGGCCTAATACCAGCCTCAAACCCCCACGATGCCCCTTGTCACCTGGAAGTAGCCAGATCGAGTTGTTGCTCATTATGACCAAAAGGCTGGAATGTTAGGCTGGTGGAAGGAAAAACAAGGACATGCAAACAGAACAGAGAGATGCCATGGGGGGGGGGGAACAGACGAGACCCCAAGGTCTGTGCCTTATATGGAAAAGGGGACAGTTCCTCCTGAATTCCATCCTTCTGATATGCCAACTAAGACCCGGATGTCAGCCTCCTCCCTCTTGAAAGGAAAAAAAGTTTCTAGTTGTCTATTATGTCACCTTTAGCCAATCATACTCTCCACATCCCCTAGGATAGCTTGCCCACTCCTCCCCCTCCTAATCCCTTATAAGCCCCCACCTCCCTGACAGGCTGTGACTTCCCTGGCCTGTAGTACCCAGACCAGCAGAACATCACCTGGGAGTGGCATTCAAATAAACTACCTGGCCCTTTGTAGCCTCTCTTTGTCTGCTTATTTCGGCTAAAATTTGAAAGGAAAGGAGCGACACACAGCAGCAATTCACCGGAGATATCCGCTTTATTAGGGAAAGGTGCTGGGTTATATAGGAAGGGGCATGGGGTGATTGTGTTGTTACTTCTATAGGGCTGGTGGCTATTGGCTAGGTGCTGGGATTGGGAGGGGGGCGAGAGGTGATTGGGCTTCAGGTGGCGCTGGCGGGAACCGAGGACCCCCCACCCCCCGAAGAGAAGCCGGAGGTTCGCTATCTTACTGGTGGGGGCCCTTCAAAATTTATCTTACAATTACATGAATTAAACTGTGAAAGAAGTCTCCCATAGTAAGAACTACATAAGTAACTGTTAATGTTAGTCTTCTTTTACTTACTGTTTCATGTCCCAGTCTAGTCATCAGCTCTGACCTCTCCCAACTGGCAATCTCTATTTATAAGGCCAGACCAGCTGTTTAATATTCTGAGTTATTTCTTTAAAAATTCATTTTTGTTTTCAGTTAGGTGTTACTAGATCTTGTACATTTCACTTAGACACACACACACAAAGCTGAAGCCTGGATAACACATTGTAATGATTTCCTTTCAGCAGCTATGGAAGTAATTAGTATGAAAAGGTTTGTGTTTGGCTTACAATAGGATCAGCATGAGAGAAGGCACTGGTGTGACATTCAAAGGAAGGGGCAGGACTTGCTGATCTATTGACTTATAAAGGCTCTGATAGACGAAGAATTCACACAGTGATAAGGAAAATACCCAACATGGCCGATAGGGCCAAAGGAGAATCTCAGCCCCGCCCCACCTTGGGACCCTTCTGGGTTCTTCAGCCCTGCTTGCCATGCGCGCCAAGAGCTACATATACAGAAGTAGAAAAGTATAATTTGCTCCCCTTGCCTGTGCTCAGGGCTCAGACCTTTGGAGATCATGCTCCTCCGCGCCCACCGGTATGAAGTAAGCCTCCCTCTCACCGTCCAAGACCTTTGAGTGCCGCTTCGGACGATCCAGTCCAGGTTCCGTGACAACGCTACTCGAGGAACCAGCTCAGGGTGACTAGGAAATTAAAGATGGGGTGCTCCATAAAAAAAAATTACCCCAATACATGCTGGCTTAAAACAACCATAAACATTTATTTTGTCACATTGTTTCTGTGGATCATGAATTCAGACAGGACACAGGAGAGAAAGCTCTCAGGAGCGAAATTGATGGTGTGGATGGAGGGGGTGCCTAGTGTCAAGGCCCTCCCTTGACAAGAAAGAGCAGGGCACTTGCCTCTGCTTGGTGGTGTCTGGGGTCTCTGCTGGAAGCATTGAAGGCTGGGAACTAAATTCATCTGAAGGCTTTTTATCCATATTTCTGACTGGACATAACCTCACTTCCATCATACCCCATTGTCAGGACAGTCAATTCTGTGCCCAGATTCAAGGGGAGGGAACACAGACCCCACCTCTGGCAGGAGGTGTAAACACACTGAATGAAGAGCCTGTGGAGAGCGGGGTGGTGCTGAGTATAGGCCGACTTTGAAAACCTCCCACAGCTGCGAACAAAAGGTAGTAAGAAGTTAAAACAATTATGGGTGGGTATTTTACTTTAGGAAAAACATGGGTTTGGCCCCTAGTAAGTTCAGTTGAAATGTTCACTTTGTATGTTGTCACTTATTTACCTTCTCTATGACCATCAACATAAAAGAAAATAGTTAACAAGGTCAGATTTGTTGTCTCCAGCTGAACATTCAAAGCTAAGTAACAGGATTCCCAAAATGTGAGGCTGATTATAGTTATCATTTATACCTTTCTCTGGGAAAAGGTAGAGGAAAGCAATGCAATATAATGTCTGTTCAGATCCTAGATCTACCACTTTGTGTGATCACGCACAAAAAGTTTACTTCTTTGTACTTCAATTACGTCCTTAGTTAAGGGGTGCATAATAATAGCATCTAATTCATGAAGTTTCAGTGAGGATTAATATAATCCTTACTAATCGTTCAGTAAAATTACTTATCTTCCTCCTCCCAAAAGAATTGCAGAACTGCCTCGTCATAAATTAAAAAGGAAATTGGATTGCATACAAGTACTTTAACGAGTTTCCTTCGTAGTGCGGTGAGTATAAGTGAGCGAAGCAAGATCAGTGACCAGAAGCGGCTCAGGTTACACATAAACCACCAGCCTCGGAAGGTCAAAGGTGATGGGAAACGGGAACCAGCAGCGAGCGAGTCAGGCGCTCGCCGGCTTGGGGACCAGCTCCCACCGCCACGTCCGGCCCCGGCCAGCTCGGCACCCGCCTGGGGCTGCTCGGTGGCCCGGCGCCCGGCCCTGCCCTCCGAGGCTGCGATTGGAGGAGGACGGGGCGGCCCTCGGCGTGGGCGGGGCGCAGGGAACTGGCCGCCCGCGTCTCCGTGCAGGAAGGCCGACTCCGCGCTCGGCGACCATGGCTGCCCAGGCGGCCCTGCGGCGCGGCGCCCGCCCCCTGCTGCGCAGGCTGCTGCAGGTGAGCTGGGAGGGTGCGCGTTCCCCCCTGCGACCCTCCGGGCCTGCAGGGTAGGCCTCGGGGAAGCCGGCCGGCTCCCGGCCCTGGCCTCTGCCGCCGAGGCCCGTCCGCGCCGTGCCGGTCACTGCCGGCCCCTCGGCCCGCAGGAAGGCCCGGGATCGGTCCCTGGCCCCCTGCGGGGACGCGCCTGTCCCAGCGCCGCGGGGCTGCTTGCGAGCTTTTCCCAACACCTGGTACCGTGCGCTGCTATCCAGAGATCTGTTTTCCTGTCCTCTTTGGGTCTGCGAGGCGGAGTCACTGCGTGATGATGAAAGGATGCGCCTTCCCTGGAGCAGCTTCGAACTCAGCAGGGAAAATAAACGTCTACTCGGAATAATACAAGAAATAGGTAGTACTCGGTAGATGAGTAAAGCTTACACACTGAGGCTGTGCAAGGCGTGTGCCTCCTCTGGCTGTTAGGTTCAGTTTGTTTTGTAAGGAACGAGTTTGCTTCTCACATCGAAGCGAGGGAGCCTGCACCTTAGATTTAGGGCCTGGCAGAACCCAAGGAGGGAGGAGGAGGATTTCAGGGTGTCGTTGATGAAGCGTGAGTTTTCCAGGTTGGTTGGGGTAATAAGCTTTGAAATTCAGTCATGTTGTAAGAGTTTGGATTTGACCCAAGTAGAGGAGACTTAATATTTTTGTTTTCTCCTAATCAGAGGTTAGGGAGGATGAGAGTGCAGAGAAAACTTGTCGGAGTGTGAAGTAACATGCTCGTGTGTTGGCCATGGGAGGTGGAGGGCAGAAGCATTGTGCAAGAGATTTGTGAAATAGTAAATGTAGAACTTGACGACTGACGCAGTGAAGATGGGCAGCTAAGGGAAAAGGAAGAACCTGGAACTAATCTTGGGTGACTGATATTAGGCAAGTGAGAAGGAGTAGGTTTCCAGGAAAGGTGAGTTCTTCAGCATATTTGTTAGTTTCATGGAAGGATTTGAGAAGTCATTACTAATCACAGAAGTGTCATTAGGTTTCATGGATTTCAACCATGGAAATGCCATTAAGTGTCATGGATTTCAACCAGCCTTGGCTAGACGAATCAGGTGAACAAGGTGCTCTTTGTAAAACATTAAAAACAGGTGCAGAACCTTCGTAATTCAGTTTTAATTGAGTTCACTATCTAACACTCATGTGCTGATGATGACAACGGAGCTGTAGGTTAATGTATATTTGTGGTACTCATTTTTTTGAACTCTAGGAATCAGTTGTATTGGTTATTTCTTGAATTAAGCTGTCATTTCCTGAATCTCAGAAATCTGTTTTAACAAGGTTTTCAATATTCAGTGTCATTCTTTGGTGTGAAACGACCTCTCACCCATTACACTCTTTCCCTTTTGCCTTCAAGTACACACAGGGCTCTGTTATGGTCAAAAACCTGTATGGCCTTTATCAGAGCTTGTTGCTGTGGATAAAGGGAAGGTGCCTTTGGCCAGGATTCTCACCTGGCCCTGGCTGGCTAGCTCACTACACACGTGTGGGCAATGCATTGTTATTGACTCTATATAAAGCGCCCTGCCCAGTGTTCTGGGTGACACGTGGCACTGTTGCAAGGCTGCAGGAGAGCAGAGGCTGGAGTGGTAGCAGTGCTGAGGACAGAGACTGGGAAGGCTGTGGGGGTAGAGAGGCCTAGAGGCAGAGACTGGCTTGCTGCATGCAGACTTGCTCTGACTGGATGGGATTCTAGTGATTGACCTGCCACCATGGGAATAAAGTTGGGTATAAACCCTTTCACCCCAAAGAATGTTTTGCTGTCAATTTCTTTGGTCACATTGACTCCATAGCAAACTTGCCCATGGCTGAAACTCCAAAGCAAGACCCCGTTTGCTCTTACATTGTATTGCCAATGGGCTTCAGCCCCGGGCAAGTTCGCAATGGATTCAATGTGACCAAAGAAATGACAGTAGAACGTTCTTGGGGTGAAAGGGTCTGTCACCCCGCTTGTTCTCCTGGTGGTAGGTGGAGCACTAGCGTCTCTGCCTCCACCCAGAGCACTGGGCTGAGCTCTCTACATAGAGCAATAATAGCTTTTTTGCTTAAAGTGTAGGCTAGCAGCAGGGCAGTTACATCATCAGGTG